AGTGTTTCAAAAGGTCAAGAAAAGATGCTGTAAAGCCTCTCAAGGCCCAGTTTCAAAAGTTACACAACATCACTTCCACTATCTTCTCCCTCCTCCTCCTCCTCCTCCTCCTCCTCCTCCTCCTCCTCCTCCTCCTCCTCCTCCTCCTTTTGGGCTGATCCTGGGGCTTGAATTCAGGGCCTGAGCAATGTCCCTTATCTTTTTTGCTCAAGGTTAGTACTCTAGCACTTGAGCTACAGCTCTACTGCCAGCTTTTTGGTGGTTAATTGGTGATAAGAGTCTTACAGACTTTCTTGCCTAGGCTGGCATTGAACTGTGATCCTCAGATCTTAGCCTCCTGAATAGCTTACAGGTATGAGCCATTCATGGTCCAATACCATATTCTTTTTTTTTTGTTTTTTTGTTTTTTTTTTGGGTCTGGTTGTGGGGCCTGAACTCTGGGCCTCAGTGCTGTCCCTCAGCTCTTCAGCTCAAGGCTAGCGCTCTACCACTAGAGCCACAGTGCCACTTCCAGCTTTTTTTTTTTTTGCTTATGTGGTGCTGAGGAATCGAACCCAGGGCCTCATGCATACAAGACAAGCACTCTACCACTGAGCTACCTTCCCAGCCCCTCAATACCATATTCTTTTGGACAGAGCAAGTCACAAAGTTACCTCTGTTCAAGGAATAGGAAATAGACTCTACTTTATTATGATTATTGTTATTAATTATTTTGGTGCTAGTTTTGAACTTAGGGCCTTATGCTTTCGTTCAGATTTTTTACTTATGGCTAGCACTTATTTGAGCCATGTGCTTACATTCCCTTTCTTGTATAATTTTTTCTTTTATCTGAATATTTTTTGCTATAACTTTTTATCACTTGACATTTAAAGCTAAGACAAAACATAACATTCCCAAAGAAGAAATTCCTTAAAAAGTAGTTGACTTTTTTTTTTTTGGTCGGCCGTGGGGCTTGAACTCTGGGCCTGGGCGCTGTCCTTCAGCTCTTCAGCTCAAGGCGAGTGCTCTACCACTTGAGCTACAGCGCCACTTCCGGTTTTCTGGTGGTTTATTGGAGATAGGAGTCTCATGGTCTCTCCTGCCCGGGCTGGCTTTGAACCGCGATCCTCAGATCTCAGCCTCCTGAGTAGCTAGGATTACAGGCGTGAGCCACCAGCGCCCGGCTAGTAGTTGACTATTAACTAGGGGTAGGCTGGAGATTTACTAATAATGATTTCAAGGGAGTTGTCCACAGAGGGGGAAAAAAACCCTACTAATAGTGATTTCAAGGGAGTGGCTCACAGAGGGGAAAAAAAAACCCTTAAAAAATGAAAGAGCTTACATGATGAAACATTAAAGGCTTTCATCTTTGGTGCCAATAAGATAATTTCCAATCTTGCATGTGTTATGGGTTAGTGGTGGTGGTGAGGATATGATAAGCCAGTATTGACAATAGACACATGTAAACTACTTGAGACTACAGAGCAAAGTGGGATTAGTCTTGTTTGGTGTGGAGCTGGAGACAGCTCTCCAGAGGCCCGGCCCTGGTGTTAGAAATGAATGTTGAAGGATGCATGGGTTAGGCTGGCCAGCTAGACAGAGCTGTAGAGCATTCTAGATTGAGAAACTTGCTCAGCTTATTTGGAAAAGGGTAATGCTTTCAGTGTGGCTTACAAACAGGGTGTAAAGTGGGAGAATCCCCGGAGTGTTAGATTTAGAGAAGCTTGTCATATAAGGATTTTACTCTAAAGAGTAACCCATCAAATGCACATTTTAGAATGATTAGTGGCTCTGGAAAGACCACATGCAGGGTGTAAGACTGGGGAAAGGAAACCCCTCAGAAAAGTAGCATAAGAAATGCCTTCTTGGTCAGTTGTGTATCTTCTCTGTGTGAGGCATAGAGCCAGGCACAGAGAACAGGAGCCATAGCTGTGATGCTCCATGCCTCACGGGCTTGGTAAGCCTTGCAATGAGCAGTCAGGCAGGCGAGGCCCCCGGCAGACTACAGCTTTGTAGGGAGTCAGGCTGGAGAAGTGGGTGGAGGTTGTCATTTAATGTGGGGTGGCAACAGAGTGGGGATGTTGTGTTGTTCAAGTAAAAATAAGCCTAGAAGTCAGGGAGCATGTCCTGGAAGCCTAGAAGTCAGGGAGCTGCAGGTCATGTGCACATGGATTGGAGAGTACTGAAGCCAAGAGACGTCAAGGGAAGATGTTGACGGGACCAAGGGGAGTTCAGAACCCAGGAAGATTCCAGAAATAACTGATAGAGAGAAGGAGGACTGAAAATGGATAGAGCAATTAGATGGAGGGGAGGAGAGTCTGGGAAAGGAATGGTCCACAGTTACAGGTGCTGTTGCAAAAAGTGGAAAGCAAAGCTAATTGCCCCTGGATGAGGCAATTAGGCTGGAATTGCTGATCTCAGGAGGATGGAGGTAGGTCCTGTCTGGATCAAGGTGGTGAGAATGCTGAGAAGCGAAGCGAATATGGTTTCCTCTTCCACAATCTAGCTAGGGGGTGAAGGATCTAAAGCAGGAGATCCACTCCACAACAATTTAGCTTTTTTTTTTTTGGTCGTGGGGCCTAAACTCTGGGCTTGGGCACTGTCCTTCAGGTCTTCAGCTCAAGGCTAGCGCTCTACCACTTGAGCCACAGCACCACTTCTGGCTTTTTCTGTTTATGTGGTGCTGAGGAATCGAACCCAGGGCTTTATGCATATGAGGCAAGCACTCTGCCACTGAACCACCTTTCCAGCCCCAACAATATAGCTTTTTAAAAAATATTAAAAAATTTCAATGTCTATTTTTCTTAGAATTATTTATTTTTTGTTTATATAGTACGAAGGAATCAGGCCCAGGACCTCATGCATGCTAGGCAAACACTCTACCGCTAAGCCACATTCTCAGTCCCAATATAGCTTTTAAGGTGGAAAACACTTGAGTGTTTATTCTCATCAGGATTGGTCACTTAATTGTGGGCCTAGAACACAATGAGAATGTAAAAATAATGTAAAATGCTAAAATAAATATTATTAAGAGTTTTAAGACATCAGTAGCAAAGCATTAAACAAGATTGAGGCCCTTTCAGATGCAGGCTCCATGGAACTGCATGGGCTACAAATCAGGAAGCCAGTCGGCATTCTAAAGGTAAGGATCCCAGGGAGGAAGAAGAGGAAGCAGCCTAGGTCCCTAAGAGGGGGCCTAGTGTATAGATGGAGGTAGAGCAGGAGGAAAATTGGACACTGGTCATCTCCAGAGACGGGAGAGATGGAGGGTGGAGATGAGCAGATACTTGCTAAGGTTTATGCTGGCTAAGCCTCAGTGCATGCTGGCCAGGGTCAATGATCAGAGGAAAGTGGCAGAAATTTCTAGCAGCCTGAGGGAAGGGGCTGAACTAGGCTGAGGTTTTTTTTTGGGGGGGGGGGAGAGGGGGCAGTAAGAATGAGTCCTAGAGTAGACTCACTGTCAGCAGACAGGTAAATAGGGGAGGAACAAGGCCAGGATCTAAAGAACAGGTGGGGCTGAGGGAGGCTGAAAAAGGAGGCCCTGGGATGATCATTTGGTATCCAAGTTGGGACAAGTAGGAGACATAAGATATCTGGAAGGACTAGGGCAGGAGAGTCTCAGGGAAGTGGACCATGAAAATGGAAGCAGGGACCTGGTGTGAAAGGAGTAGGATTGGGGTTTGATATTTTGGCCACGAAGAGCTGGTACACTGGTACACTGGTATGAGGCGTGTCTAGAAAGCCCATTCATAGTCCAACAGCAAAACGCACTCCAAGCTCTCCAGAAGGGAAGATGACAGTCATGGGACTATTAAAACCCCTTGTAAGTGTGTGTGTGTAGCCAGAAAGGAAGACGTTTAAAAATGTAGATGAAGTCACAAAAGATGGGATAAGGTTTTTCTTTTCCCTTTAAACCAGAAAAGGGAGAAAAGGGAGCGATGCCTTATGGAAAGGTAGTGAAGAAGGACGGAGTGGTTAAGAGCAACTGGCTATTCCCTAGGTGATCTATATGTAAGAGGGACTAGGCGAATGTGCGGCGAAATGCAGAGCCGTTGAGTTTTCTCTTTGGAAACGCAGGGGGTCGCCCGTGAGCGGCGAAGCGAGCGCGGGCGGCCGGTGGCTCCAGCCTGGCGGAGGCAGGCTGGCAGGCGGCAAAGCTTCCTTCCAAGTCTCTCTGCTGCTAGGGGATCCCCGGTTCTCCCCAGCACCTCCGCAGTTCCAAAACCCAGTCTTGTACATCCCTCCTCTCAGCAGACGCCGAAGGTCTAGCTGGGCAGAGAGGCTCTGGCGATGGAGAGTTTTAACCAAGCACCCACCGGGCACCTCTGGGGCCAGGCCCGGAACTGGGGTGGGGTGGGGGGGAGGGAGGTGTCCCAGATCCTCAGGGTCTCGCCTGCCCACTACCTCTCATTCCCGGCGTATCCTACCCTCGTTTTCCGAGAAAAGCAGTCTGAGCTCCCTGTCCCTTTTAGCTTCTTTCTCCTGGGGCAACTTCCCTGAAGTCTGAGATCCTGGTGGCTGCCGCCTCGTCACGTTGCTTCTGCAGGTAGTAGCCACCTCGCCTCCAAGGCTTTCCCAAATCGGGGCTGTAGGAACCCAGCTACACTGTCTCCTGAGATATCTCCCAGGTGGGGAAGACTCGGGAGGACAGCCCGGTCTCTTCATCCTCCCCCCCTCCTGTCCACCTCCCCAAACCAATGTCTGAGATCCATAGGATGCAGCTGAGACGGAGCTGCTGGGCGCACGTGCAGAGCTGGGTCTGACCACCGGGCGTTCCCCGCCTGCCGCAGCTGCTTGGGTTTGCGCACGGCGGCGATCGCCTCTGCAAGGGATCGCGGGTTCCTGGTGGGGACAGCGGGTCCGGGCGGCAGGGGCAGCGGGGCCCGGTGCCCGGGTAACAGAGAAGGGGCGGAGCCGAAGCCAGAGGGGAAGGAGGGGGCGCGCCGGCCCCGCCCCCGCCCCGCCCCCTGCGGCCGGAGCCCGGGCTGCAGCCGGGCGCGCCGGAGCCTGCAAGTCCGCGAGCCAGAGAGCGGCGGCTGCGGCCTCCCCTGCGTCCAGCCACCCGGCGGGCCCGCTGACCCCGGGGCCCGCGCCCCCCGCGCAGGGATGCATCATGGCCACGATGGCTTGTCGGGTGCAGTTCTTGGACGACACGGATCCTTTCAATAGCACCAACTTCCCGGAGCCCAGCCGACCGCCGCTGTTCACGTTCCGCGAGGACCTCGCGCTCGGCACCCAGCTGGCCGGGGTCCATCGGCTGCTGCGGGCGCCGCACAAGGTACGACCCGAGGGGCCGCCCCGGGCCGCGGAGCGCGCGCGGGTGGGGGCGCAGCGAGAGGGCTTGGCGGGGTGCAGCCTCGGGGGACCGGCGTCCAAGGGCAGATCCTCCTCCGGGTGAGGCAGAGGGGCCCGGGGCTGGAGCGGGACCCTCCTGGGCGGGAAGGAAGGACAGCCCCACGCTGCCACGCAAAGCTGGTGGCGGGTGCGGCGGAGCAGGTGCGGAGCCGGCCAGAGGCAGGGATGGAGGTTCCGGATGGCTGCGCCGTTAGCTCGGCCGGGTGGGCGGGGTGGGGTTCCAACGCCGGTGAGCGTCCCCGGGAGGTCGCCGATTGGGGCGCGCGAGGAACCCCGGGCATCGTGGGACTCTGGTTCCTTAAGGAAAGCCCGGAGGGGAGCCCGGGATAAAACCTTCTGTGGGGCCTTCTGGGACGCTGCGGGCGGCCTCCCGACAAAGCGCGCTACCCAGGGGACACCTCCCCTTCTTCCCCTCGCAGGGGGCGGGGGAGGGGGGAGACCGTGGAGGACGCCGACCGCGCTTTGAGATTGCGCGCACACTATCGCCTTTTTCTTCTGAGAAGCAGGTGGCCTTGGGAACCTTGGAGGGGCAGCCTCTGTGGGAGGAGGGGCGGGGGCGCGGAGGGTGGGGGCGACGCGCACAAAGCCTCAGCCTGGAGCCCCAGATGAGTGTCCCCTGGGAAGAATAGCGGCTCAGTCTACCCGTTAGAGAGGCTCCCCCGCCCCTCCCCCCTTTGAAGGAGGACAGGCGTCTTGCAAAGTGATTGTTGTAAAGAGCTGGGCATTGAAAGCTAATCATTTAGTTACCCAGCAAAATGCTTCCTCCCACTTGAAGAGAATGACTGCACCTTGAAGAATGCCCAGCTCTGTATATTTTCTCCTTTGGGTTCGTATCAAAGTTTGGAGATAATTTATTCCTTGAGGGTCAACACTGGCAAATATTTGGAAGTGACCACCCTTGACTCCAAGAACAAAATTGATTTTTGAAAAACTTGAGATTTCTGCGTGACTCTCAGCTTTGGAAGTAGAGGGTGTGTAGGAAGCAGAGGACTTTGGCAGTGATGTCCCCCTTCTATTAGAGCAGCAGAGCTCCATCACCCTTAGTTTTTAGGAGTGAAGAAAGGGTAACTTCAGCTCATTCTTTCTGTATCCTTGAAGGGTGGTCACAGTCATAAAAACATGTTAGGTTAGGAGATAGAGGGGCAGAATAATGTATTATAGATTTATCAGATTTATTTTGTAAATTCTTTGCATTTTCTTAATCAGTGGATTCAGTTAAAAGTTTTCAGAGTTTCATCTACAGGGAATGATTATTCCATTCATTTTGGTCTCTTATTACAGTGATCCTTTGTTGAAACCACAGAAGACTCATAATTGTGGCCTTGTGACCTTGGTTTCCTTGAATTTCAACTGCTATATGCATGGGTTGACCTTTCAAACTGTGAGCTGAAGTATGTTTTTATGTTTCCATGGAAGAGCCCCATAGTCTTGCTCCAGTGTTCCTGGCATGGTAGGAGGAACTCTTGGTGCTCTGGCACTGCCTGCTCATGCTTACCACCAACTGGAAGCCTCAGCTGGGCGGTGAACTAGACCACAGAACCTTCTATGGTGTTCTGTGGACAAAGAGCCACATGTCCTATGGTTATCTTTTTGAGAGTCAGGCAGCTGCAGTCTCAGAATTTTTGGTCCAAAGAACCCTGCCATACATTCAAATATTTGCCTTTTTCCCCCATCCAGACCAAATCAAGTGGCTGATTCTATTAACCAGAGTTCTTTAAGCAGAATTCAGGACATTTACGTATCTATAAGTGCATACTGTCTTTACAGTGGTTAATTTTCCACATGACTGGATGACCCATCCATGACATAGGGACTTTTATTGCCCCTATTTTAGAGATGAAGAAACTGAGACAGAGCAGTTAGCCTAGTTTAGATGGTTGGGGTAGGAAGCCGAGGAGGTTTATGTGACTGGAGACCTCAGTGCTGTTCCATCCATCTTCTGGAAGCTGCACGTATGTGGGCAGAAGTTGTACTTCCTAGGGCTTCCAACCCATTACTTTGGACAGTTTGCCCCATCACCTTTGTGTGCCAAGGACTTTATGGCCTGGGGCAGGTGCATGGTATATGACAGAGTAAGAGCTTGCAGAATTTTCTGGCCTGGTACAGTTCATACTCAGAGGTAGAGATTTATAGTTGCCAATTCTGCTTGAATTAGGTCATGGTGAGGGAGTAGGCTAGCCTCAGGGAACACTTCTCTCAGGTCTACTAAGTCTTGTCTTGGCAAGGGGAGGAATTCTTTGTGTGGAGGGCACTCTGAGTGATGGAAAGAGGGGAGAAACATGAGCATAGAATGTCCCATACTCCCTGTGATTTCACATTGTTCCCAGAGGCTGTGCAGGTTCAAGTCCCTGGGGGAGTAACCTTTTACTGGAGTAGATTGCACACAGATTCAAGCGTGCAGGGCATGTGTACAGTTGAATGAGTTTTCACAAATACAGGGGAATAAACCTTGTAACCAGCCCCAACGAAGCTATCTTAGCCGGTGTTAACTTTTAAAATCTCCTAGGGACTCTCCTGTCTCAAGAAACCTTGAGCTGGCTGAAACTTGGACACCTTAAGTCATAGTAATTTTGCTCATGCACACTGATTTCTTGAGAAATTATCATTTAGCAGAGCTATTATATTGGGCACAAGCAAGATATTGTGCTCATTCATTATGCTTAATCTTTCACCTCCTTGCAAAGAAGCTGATCGATTAAAAAGAAACTAAAAACAAACTAATTTTATTATAGTTCAGAGAGGATGATGAAATAAATCATTGCTTGGTAGCAAAAGTGATCCAAGACATAAGAAATGTTTATTTTGGTGTTTGTATGTTTTGGCTGGATTTAATGAGTCCTTTCCTTTTTGTCTTCAAACACACGTAACTAGATGTTTATTCCTAACCTCATGGTTTACTCAGAAATTATGATAGATTTCTACTTTCGACATCATCACACCATAGAACTAATAGGATCATGGACATTTTAAAGCTTAGGATGTGTTGTGGATTGACTGATGTTAATGGCACTTAAGGATCTGAGGAATTTTTTTTCCACTGATGAATGAAACTGAAATTGTAAAATATTTTTGTAAAAATGTTATAACTAGCTTACTGTCAAATTGGCAAGTATGACTTAGTAATTTAACTGGAAAGGTGTCATTGCCTGCTGTGGGCTGGAGACTATAGAGTAATGATAACTATCATGTTCTAGACACGTGCCTGAGCCAGGAACTGTTCTAGCTACCTATTACTTCTAACCACCTTCCTGGCCAGGTACCGGTGAAATTGTATCTCATAGCAGGAGAGACCAAGAGTAGAAAGTAGTCACCTGCTAACACAAATTTGAGGTCCAGAGCTGGTGCCTGACAGATCTAAGTTTTTAATGAACTCTGTTTTCCTATCTTGAATATTCCTCTCCCAAGAAGTGGGTCCATGCTCCAGATATCCCCTTCTCAACAGATTGATCCTGAGTGTCTCATGTTTGTTTCTTTCTCACTACCTTGTCCTAGTGGTTACCTTGTTCAATCAGCTACCCCGTCTGTAAAATATCTGTAAAATGGTAATTGTTGAGTCAGGTGCTGGTGGCTCAAGCCTGTAATCCTAGCTACTCAGGTGGCTGAGATCTGAGGATCACGATTCAAAGCCAGCTTGGGCAGGAAAGTCCACGAGACTCTTACCTCCAAATTAATCACCAGAAAACTGGAAGTGGTGCTGTGGCTCAAGTGGTAGAGCACTTGAGTTGAGCTGAAGAGTGCAGGGACAGTGCCTAGGCCCAGAGTTCAAGCCCCACAACAGACAAAATAAAAAAATTAAAAAAAATTGTAAACTGTTGAAGTTGCAGTGAGGATTAGCTCCTTGCTACACCAAGCTTGGGGTGGGCATCGTCTGGGCTCTTGTTAGAATTACACACCCTCAGGCCTTCTCTGCACTGAATCAGAACACAGTGCCCTGATGCTTCCTGTGCAAAAGACAATCTCGACAGCTTGGATTCCAGGTAATGTCCATCAAACTGTTAAGTCTACATGGTTCGCATTGTCTCCTGTTTCCAGGTCACTTCCTGAAGGTGAAGACCTGACTGCCCAGTTCTCCATGTTACCCCCTAGAAGCTAAGTAGTGCTAAAACAAGGAGGGAACTAAGTTGATTGATAGGTGTTAGTTTTAGAACACAAATCCACTGGTATTATTGCACTAGTGAATTTCCACCTTAATCCTCTTAAGGGACACATCTGTTCGCTCTATTACATTAAGGTTTTTCGAAGATGAGATCATTAGTAAAGTTGGTGAATGTGTTGTGTCATAGCATCTTAGGTCTACAGTATTAAAAGCTTGTAGGAACAGTGAAACTATCTCTGTATAAGCAGAGTCGAATCTGAGTCCACTGTAATTAGCTCATTTGGTTGGAGCCTTGATACTGAGAGCAGGATCATGGGATTGAACCCTTTATGGGTCAGTTGGCTTTGTTTCATGCATGGCCACAGACCATGTTGGTAACCTAGCCAGACATCTAGCAGGTGCTGTCATGGTTCCTAGCAAGGATCTGGGTTGGGACAGACTGATAGCCATCTTTGGGGGCCAGTTGGAGAAAGAGACAGGACTTACAGTATGCAATGAACTTGTTCTGGGGACTGAACTGTAAGTCTCCATGTAGAACTTCATTCATCTCTCTAGTGATTCTAGCATGTAGATAGAAGAACAAAACTGAGCCCCAGGGAATTTAAGCAGGTTATCTAAGTCCCATACTACTTTAAGTGAAGGAGCTAGGATTTAAGGTCAGATCTTTTTTTACTCCACGCCTGTAGCCAACTGTGTCCCATTATTAGAAAACCAGTGGAGCACATGCTCTCTATGCGGGTGCCCGTGGGGGTGGGGCAGGGGTGGCTGCATTGCCTTTCCATGGGGCTGTCTGTCACAGAGCTGTGATTTAAATGGATGTGCTCTGG